TTGCTCTTTTAATTATGATGTATCTTGGTGTGGGTGGTCCTCTTTGAATTTTTTTTGTTTGCGGTTCCCTGTGCTTCCTGGACTTGTATTTCTTTCACCAGGTGGGGGAAATTTTCTGTCATTATTTCTTCAAATAGGTTTTCAGTATCTTGCTCTCTCTCTTTTCTTCTGGCACCTCAATAATTCAGATGTGGTATGCTTGAAGTTTTCCCAGAGGCTCCTTACACTATCTTCATATTTTTGTATTATTTTTTCTTTTTGTTTTTCCGGTTGGGTGTTTTTGCTCCTTTGTATTTCAAGTATTCTTGTGATCCTCTAGTCTACTATTGGATCTCAGAATATTATTTTTTATTTCAGTAAATATATGCTTAATTTCTAAATGGTTCTTTTTCATATCCTCCAGGGTCTCACTAAATTTATTGGCCTTTTCTAGAAAATTCCTGAAAAACCTTATAACCATTGTTTTGAACTCTATATCCATTCATTTGCTTTCCTCCATTTCTTTCATTTGTGACCTGTTTATTTGACTCCAGGTTTTCGCTGCTTCCCTGAGCTGATAGAGTGGCTTTGTGTGGTAGGGGACCTACCTATAGGGCCCAGTGGCTCAGCCTCCCCAGTTACCTGAGGTGGACACTCTTGGTGCAACCCTTTGTGGGATATGTGCACAGTCTTGTTGTAGGTAAGCCTTGATCATTGTTGGTATCACTGGGAGGAATTGACCTCCAGGCCAATTGGCTGTGAGGATCAGCTTTGTCTATAACGGGAGAACTTCTGTGCTGGAAACACCCTTATGAGAGTGGAGCTTTTGTGCTCACTGAATCTGCCCCTTGAGTGTGTTCCTTATGTATCTGAGGAGTTGTAATCTGGATGGTCCTACTCTGACCCCTGGGTACACTGGCTCTTGGATCTCCAAGGAGGTGCTAATTTAGCCTCTGCCTGAGGTCACCCAGCAGGAGCTACAGAGATATCTTCAGATTCCTCTTCTTTGTTTGGGTTTTGGAGGTGCCCAGATGAGGCCCAGCTGTGAAGCAAAGCAAGCTGCTGTGGGGCATTGGGCCTTCTTTTGGATGTTCTGGGTCTCTCTGACTCAGCTGCAGTTTGTTAGGTAAGTTTAGATTTCAAAGGACCAAGTCATTTATATTAAAAGCCTCTGCACCCAGCTTGGTTGGGGCTGCGTCTCAGGGTGGAGCAAAAAGCAATGGCTTCCCATCAGCCCTGCCTTAAGAGGCCCCAGGTCTCAGTGTCCCTTTTTGATCACTGTAAGCACCTCTGAGAAAAAGCCACTCTCGAGTTCTGCCCGAAGCCAGACAGTCCAGTTTCTCCCCATATGAGTCTGGGTTCCTAGAGTCTTGCCTGGAACTGGAGTTCAGAGTAGTTGGGAGCTTGTGTCTCCCTCCGGCTTGAAAAAGCTTGCCATGTACTCAGTTGCTAGCCCTCTCTGCGCGTGCCTCTGTACCTCTGCACTTTACTTCTGCAGCTCCTCTGAGTCTCAGTGTGCTTTTCTCTTCCCTTCTAGTTGTAGAATTTCCACTTACCCGGCCTTCCTGTGGTTCTGGATAATGTCCAGTTTGTCTTTTAGTTGTAGTTTTGAAGTGGTTGTGCAAAGGGCAAGTTCAGGTGTTTACCTAATGCTGCCATCTTGGTTTCTCCTAATTCCCTTTTAATATGCGTGAATTTCATGCATGAGGCCACTAGTATCTTATAACTTCTATATCATTACTTAGCTCTAAAGCAATTAAAATATTTTAGCATGAATTTTATTGTATCAATCATGCCAGTAATATAACTTATGGACCAACTCCTCACTTTTTTATAAGCTTATTTTGAGCTATTGTGGTGTTCATGTTCTTTTCATGCCTTTTTGTTTTATTTTATAAGTTATGCTTCCCCTATTTTTTGTTCTTATTTATTGCATTCTCTAATTTGTTTATAAATCCTATTATTAAAAGTACAATTTGTATAAGGAACAATTCATCTCAAATCCCTGTTAAACATGAGGGGCCAGAAAGTAACTTTGCCAAGGTTTTTAGTTAGTGGCAAAGATGGGATTGGATCCTAGTTTTTGACTTTCAATTTAATGTGTTTTTTCCACAATACTAAGATGTATTTTAGAAATAAATGGGTTAGACTTAGTATTTAATTTTGAATTTACCCTGGCTTTCTTATTTTTTTTTCTTAATAACTTAAAGGAAAGTTTAAAGGATAGTTGGTTATTAAAAAGAACACACCTTCTCATATATTTGATTTCAGTAACAGACATTTAGATTTGTTTCAGACATCTCTATAAGATTGAGTTAAATTATTTTAACCCATCAAAATTAAGATGATAAATATGCTAAATGTTAAATATTAGTATTATGAAAAACTAACATTGGTTTTGTAGATCGTATAAATTTTATTTAAATTTTTATTATTTAAAAAAATTATTTTTAACAGACTGCCCTGAATTCTCTATGGCCTTTGTTAATTCTAAATTTTAACATTTGCTTTAGCATTGTAGTACAATCTGATATAAATTATAGAAATTATCCAGTTTGTGAATAATCCAAGGGCTTTTCCCCCGAGTTTGCCTTTGGCTATTTCACTCATCAGCCCTTAGTGAATAGGGTGGGACACAGAATTTTTGAAATTCAAAACTGTCAGTTTTTGTGATGGTTACCTTCAATAGTAAACTCCAGTCTTTGAAAGTTGACAAAAAACTATTGAAATAAAAATGCTGTTTAGGATTCTCTCTGCATTTTGGTTTTCTATAATGAAGCATTTACTCTGTGGGAACATAGCTGTAATCCTGTTACAGTTCAGTGGTGTACCAGTTCTGGGGGCCTTGAGAGAGAAGGTTCCAGCCATGTCCAGAAGAGACTTGCTTGGTGGGGACAGATGGAGGCATTCAGGGTGGGAGTGCTGGAGCCAGCTGCAGAAGGGAGGGTTCTGTCTCCAAATGTGATGCGTATTCTGGCGGGGGAGGAGGGGGGGGCTCGGGGATGGGGATGGACACAAAGTACTTGAGCGGACATCCTGAGATTAGAGCACTGTCTGGGTCAGGGGTAGGATTTTTTGCATACTTTTGGTCCTTCCTTTATCTTTAACTCTTATGTCAACATTAACTAAAATTTGTGAGCCATAAAATAGGAACACAAAGTCTGATTTTTCTTCTGATTTTTTGAGTTTACTTTTATGAAGAAGATTAAAAGGGTACATAAATATAATCAATCATCCTTTACTTATGTATTTAAATTATTACTTTTCTTGAAAATAAAATTGAGGACTAAATAGGGAAATTTTGGATATATGATTGTTAGATCTGTATGCAGCCTGTCATAGACACACACACACACACACACACACACGTATGTACATACATACAGACAGACATATTTTTCCCCTTTTTATTTCCTTGCTCAAGTCCATACCTTTCCCTTACAACTCATATACTGTGACTACGTCCTAGTCAGTCTCCCTCAGAATAGTTCTGACCCCTGCAGTTTTATCCTTTATTATTGATTTCTAAGCCATGTATTCTGGCTTCATAGTGTTCAGTTTACTCTGCTTGTTTCAAAAGAGCTTTTCCCACCTAGTTACCCTACACCAACCCATCACCCCCAATCTTTTTTCTAATCAAGCCAATTCCTCATGTCCCTCTTATAGTGCTCATATTTGACCACTCTGGCCTACAATGTTTCTCTTCTCATCTTCCCTTTCATTTTTTTTTTCCTTTTTCTATACTTATACATAATACCTCACAATGTAGTACTCAATTCTTGTGTGTATATAGGAGATTAGTTCAGAGACTTCTGGAATTTCATCCTGGTGTCTCAGTTCATGCTATCTATAATGGGCATGCAATAAAATAAAAAAAAGTGTATTAAGTGAATAATCAAGGAATAGCAGCTGCAGAGGTAATGAAGTATGTTTTGAAGCCAAGATGGCTGTTTTACTCTGGAGGCTGTCGGGAGTATGATGTTTAAAAGTTGGAATTGAGTGAGGGCAATTCTTTTCTATGCAGTAGAATTATAGGATGCTAGCGCATGAAGACAGGTATACTGTGCATCAATTGTCTAAAGTGCAAACCATATTTTCTTGGTGTCGGGTTTTATCTCCATGTCATGTAACACAGTGGAACTGTCTGAGAGCTGCAAACTTGTCCTTTCCACTCCCACTCATACTCAGGTAGATAGGTCTTGGGGAAAGGGAGGGAGGGAAGGAGGAATGAGGTCCAGTGGAAGATATATAAAAGTATCTGATTATTAGTATCTAAGGAGAGAGAAGAAAAATAATAATTATGGTAGTAGGGTCCTTGGAGTCTAGTTTGAACAGCATTCTCAATTAATGCAGTAATTTAACTGATGAGTGACAGACTGGTGGCACTGAGCTTGTAGTTTTATTTGGCTATACCTTCCACATTCTTTCTCCTGAGGAAATGCCCAAACGTGTAGATTCCAGTGACAGCAAGGCCTATGGGATATGAACGTGGTGTTGTGTTACACTCCAGCAGCTATAAAATGAATGAGGAAAAAAATCTTGATTTTTTTTTTTTTCCCCCTAAAGAAAATTGAATACCTTCTGTATGACTGAATTAAAATGTTAAATTTAGGATTATTTAATTCCTATTCTTTATCTCCCTCAAGAATCTGGAAGCTTTTTATAACTGTAAAAAAAAAGTTGCAATTCCCTTGAGCTTCTGCCAAAAGTGTACAGTGATGCCAAAACTTATGTGTGGGAAAGTTGATTTCAATGAGGGTAATTTAGCTGAAGTTTAGTCTAAGGAACTAGTGTTTTGCTGCCAAGCAATTATTTGCATTTCTAAAAAATGACTTATACTTTTTACCAATGCTTTCTTTTCATCATAGACTAGTTACTTAAGCAAGTTATTGTTACTAATGGTGTATTTTCTATAAAGGAAACTCTGTCCTTATTTAATTTGGTTAACCTCAACCTTTTTAAAAATATGTGATTTGAGTCCTTCTATTATAAGTTACCTTTTGTTTGAATAAAATTCACAGGAATTAACTCAGCAGCTAGAAAAAATAAAAGAAAAGGAAGAACGTGAAAAAAGAAAGATAATTGCTGAGGAAAAGCACAAGGAATGGGTTCAGAAAAAAAATGAACAGGTGAGGAGAAAAATTGCACTCATACATCCTGACATCTCTAAGTGTTCTTCCTGTGACTCCTCATTGCCTTGGTTTTTCTTATTTTCTCTTAGATTCTTTCTTTTCTGACCTGATTTTTTCCCCCCTACACTCAGGGACATTTATGAAGTTTCTGTCTTCCGCCCTTTGCTCTCTGCTTCTCTCTCTTTTCCCACATGTGGTCTCCAGGTAATCATGAAGTCTGTACCTCTACGCTGACCTCCTGGGATCTTGGATTTACGACTTACGGTTGGTTTCACCTCTGAACCTGCAAATCTAAAACAACCCATTTTTGCCCATTCTCCTTGGATAGAACCTTTCTCCTAACTGCTCGAATACTGTTATTGGTACTGCTGTCACCTCAGTCACGTGGACATAATCAGAATTCTTCTGTCATTTGTCGTCATTCCTTCCTTTCCTTTACAGTCACTCCTGTTGTGATCTCTTCCAGTCTGGTCTCATTACATCTTTCAACTTGTGTTGTTTATTTGTTTATTTTCCCATATTGGGATGTACGCTCCATAAGGACATCGATTTTTGCTTCTTTTTTGTCCAGTTCTCTAGCAGCTAGATCAGTATCTGACACAATAGATATTTGTTGAAGGAATGAGTCCATACTCTGTGTTCCTGGCAGATTAATCTTGCTGAAACAGTCAAATGTCATTTCCCAATTCAAAATATATATTTTTTGTGTGATCTCTCATTGTCTTCTGAATACCATTTTAACAATTCTAGCCTGCCTGATTAAAGACCTTTTCCTCTCTGCCCTTGGTGCCATGTCTTCTACTTGTTTTATTTATTTATTTATTTATTTTAAATATATTTAATTGATTTTTTACAGAGAGGAAGGAAGAGAGAGAGTTAGAAACATTGATCAGCTGCCTCCTGCACACCCCCCTACTGGGAATGTGCCCGCAACCAAGGTACACGCCCTTGTTCATAGGCCGATGCTCTACCCACTGAGCCAAACCGGTTTCGTCTTCTGCCTGTTTTTTATAGAAAAGGTGGAAATTTATTGAAGAACAAGGAGATTCCCACATGGGGAGGGGGAAAGAGTCCCCCTGCCTGTGGTTTCCTTATTCTGTGCTGTTGATTCTTACTGGTGTTCTTTGAGGAGTATACCCAGCATTCACATAGCCAGTCTCCTTGGAGTATTAGTTTTACTGGAAAATTTTGAGAGGCAAAAAATTTTTTTTGGTAAAGCAAGCACAGATACTTAATAGAAGAGAACATAAATTTGACATGATAGATTTCAGAGAAATTTTGAGCTTTCAAAATTCACAGGCCCCAGAGATATGTTCATGAGAAATGCTAAGGACATTTTTCTTCTGTTTCTCACACCATTTTTTTATGATATTTTATCAGCTTGGAATCTCATTATATCCCCCACCTTACCTTTCCCTTCATTACCCAACTCAAAGCATTTCCTCTTACAGGAATCACTTGCTGATCAGATGCTAGAAACTCCTTCCTGAATCCTGTTCACATTTATCACTTTGTCATGTATATGTTATGTCATGTATATGTTTTATTGCTATTTTGTATTGTGTACATATCTTCATTTTCTTGGTAATTTTAAGACTTAAGGGTAGGAATTAATTTTTATATTTTTAATTAATCACAATATCTAATATAATGCTTTATAATACAGTAGACCTTTGTTGTTGGAATGAATAAATGAACGAATAAATGAATGGTATTATCTTTCAATTTTAATACAATTTTGTATTGGATCACAAGTTAAAAATTCTGTAAAAACTTGTCAGTTTGTTATCTTGTGAATATGTAGATTGATACTGCTTTTTAAATTATAGTCCAATTTTAAGAATTTAGTTAAACATTTAAATTGTAGGGCAAAGTTTAAATTTTTTAATCATAAGTTTTTTGTCCTTAATTATTGTTATAATGCCCAGTGATATTAGTAGAGTACCTACTAAATCATTTCAGCAAATTGAAGATGATGTAGCTTTCTTCCTCCAGGAATAATAAGAAGGAAATTGGCTAGACATATGTGTGTTTAACCATAAATGTATTTGTTCTTCAGAAGTATATCTTGATTATAATTAATTTAGCATCATTCCATAAAACAACAAGAAAGAGCTCCTTGTGAATCAGTGCCAAAATCAAAACAAGTCTATATGACCATTACCAGGCTTTGGGTGATACTTTTTTGAAATAACTGAAAAATAAAAGAGTTTTACATGTATACAATAATAGCATGCTCTTTCCTCTAAAAGCTTCTCTTATCTTCTAACTCCATTAAGCTCATTTTACCATGCCAATCAAACATAGTTGTTGTTTCTCTAAGAATGTAAGATACTGCTGAGAGATGATATATTCTGTGTGTTAATTAGTGGCAGTAGATCTAATCCAATTATTTGAGAAAATTTTTTTCTTCTGGAGGGAAATGGCATGCCCTGACATCAATCACTAATTATTGAAAGCAGGATTCCACAAGGTTGGGAATAGTTCACAAAAGAACCCTGAGAAATGGAGTTTACTCATTCTGCAGAAGTCTTGTGCATGTTAAGAAATAACTGATTACTCAAATTTCTTTTTCCTTTAAAACCTCTCAGATTTCTTATTTCAGTCTTAGTTACATTTACCTCTGTTTGTAAAGACTGCTCTCCTGGTTCTTCTCTTTCTGTCTGGCATCTAGCTTTTTCCTCCTCTGTTTACATTTCATGGTGTGTGGTCCTCCGCCGCCTCCAGCCCCATTCACATTTTAGCTGGGTCTGCGGCGTTATTTTCTCTAAGTCATTTCACTGTGTTCTATCAAAAAACCAGACAAAGGGGATTTATGTATCCATTAGCAAAGCCAGTTTCTTATACTATGACTGTAAATTGTTAAATCTGTTTCAAATAAGTGGCTTATCTCATCTGGTACTCTTGCATTTATGTTGTCATACTAATTCGTTCTTTCAGATTTGTTTTTGCAGTATGTTATCACATATTTTATATAAGGGTCTTTACCTTCATGGTTTCAAAAGTTATGTAAAAATGAAATTATTTTTAATTTTCTAAAATATGAAACTGATTTTTTTAATGTCAAAAATTAACTTGGGTCAACAAAGCATATGATTGGTAGCATTGTTATCTGTGTATCCTTCATGCATTCTGCACTTTTCCTGTGTTCCAGGTACTATTGAAGGAATCAGCGTAGGGATTCAGAAACCTTAGCCAGTTGTTTTATTAGTTTCCTCCAGTTTCAAGAAGCAGAGGTTCTTTCAGGGCTCCATCCTTTGCAAAGGGAAGATTTACTGTTGTGCTCTGTGTGGAGTAGAATTGGAATGCCAGAAAAGCTGAAGCCACTTAGTGGCTGGCCGCTTTCTCAGCACCTCCCTGTGTGCCGGCTATGCTGTCCTTGTGCTAACTGAAGGGTACTCCATTCTCTCTCCTCTAGTTTAATCCTATGAGAGCCTGTCTGGTGTGTGAAGATCTTCTTTGAGCTATAATTTATGTACAACAAAATATGCCGATTTGAAGTCTGACAAGCATGTTCCTGTATAATCAGCAGCACAGTCAGGACACAGGACATTTCCATCACTCAGATCGTTCCCTTGTGCCACTTTGCGTTCATTTCCTGCTCCCCACTCCCAACCAGTCCCAGCTCCAAGGAAGCCATTAATCTGCTTTCTGTCCCTGCAGAATAGGTTTTCCTTTCCTAGAATTTTATATAAATGGGATCTGTTGTTAAAATTCCCTGTTCTATGTATTCAGATCGCTCCTTTTTATTGCTGAGTAGTATTCTACTCTATGGAATACCACAAATCGTTTATCCATTCACTAGTTGATATACAGTTGGTTTGTTTCTGGTTTGGGGTATTATGAATAAAATTCTATGACAACTTATGTGCAAGTCTTTTTGTAGACATTTGTTTTCATTTATCTTGGGTAAATGCTTAGGAACTGAATTGCTGGGTTGTGTGGTATGTGTTTAACTTTACAAGAAATCGCCAAACTGTTTTTTAAAGTGCTTTTATCATTTTACATTCCCACCACTATTGTATGAAAATCCCAATTGCATCACATCCTTGCCAAACATTACATTGTCAGTCTGTTTCATTTTAAATCATTTCAGTCAATATGCAGTGATACATCATTGTCATTTTAATTTTCATTTCCCTGAGATCCAATGATATTTAGCATCTTTTTATAAGCTTATTTATTCTGTTAGCCTAGTAGGACTGCCGTAACAAAACATTACAAGATGAGTATGAAACAACAGAAATTTATTTCCTTAGACTTTGTGGTACAAAAGCAGCCATAGACAATAAATATGTAAATAAATGGGTATAGCCATGTTTCAATAAAACTTTATTTAAAAACGCAGGTGACAGGTCACAGGTGGACCATATTTGGCCTTCAAGCTATAGTTTGCTAACTTCTGGTCTTATATAGAATTACATAGCCAAAGATTTGTCTGTATATGCTCCTATAGCAATATTTAGTGGGCCAATTTTTTTGTTCTCTGTAACACTAATGGTGAAGATTTATCCAAGTGTTCATATTGTTAAACTGGCCAAGAATGTGTACATTGGTGGCTCCTATTTTAGAGGGTAAACATCCATTAAAAAACAAACATTCAGAGCAATGTATCAGGTTATAATTTCTGTTCACTAATTTATTCAAATCTTTATTGAGCATGACCTGTTTACTCAGCACTGTCTCAAGTTCTGAGTATACTTTGGTGAACAAGATTTTTTTACTGCCACAATTAATCTTACAGCCAAATTGGTAAACTAAAATTGACCAGGTAATTGCAGGTACTATGTTATATATTTTCACAAGCCATGTAAGTGTCAACTACTATGTTACCACCTATTTTAAGAAATAACACAAATTTAGAAGATTACTGTAGATAATACTCCATCCTCATATGAGGATAATTACAAACATTCCAATTAAAATTCCTTTACTTTTATTTAAGAAAAGGAAAGAAAGGGAACAAAAAATTAATAAAGAAATGGAAGCAAAAGCAGCAAAGGAACTGGAGAAAGAACATTTGCAAGAAAAAGCAAAAGAAAAATATCAAGAATGGTTAAAGAAAAAAAATGCTGAAGAATGTGAGAAGAAGAAGAAAGAAAAGGTATTTAACCAGTTAGAATACATTACTTGGTGTTTGTAATATAATAAGTTTCTAATAGAAAATTGGCACTATCTTAGTATAAAATAAATACATGAAGCTATCCCTACTTATTATACTATTCTTAAGCTTTAGAAATGATTATGCATTTTGGTTTTTCTTAGGTTGATAAATGTTAATAAGCCTGTTGATATTTTTTCAGTTAGGTTCAAACATTTTATCATTATTAATGCTAAATTTTGGTGGTACCTTTATTACATTGTAAATTACTATTCTATTTTAAAACAGTAAATTGCTTTTTTCTTCTTGGGTTTGGTGTCTCCATATCATATCCCTGATCATGTTTAATTTTGCTCTCAAATTAGAGAAATATGACTTAATACTTATCATCAATAAGCCATCAGGTGGGAAGCTGCTGGGGAAAATATTTAGTTACAGAATATCCCTGGAGATTTTTTGGTCTTGTCATTTTAAGGAAAAAGAAAAACAACGTCAAGCTGAATTACAGGAAAAGAAAGAAATAGCAGAAAGAAAGTTTAAGGAATGGTTGGAAAATTCAAAAAATAAACCTCGTCCAGCTGCAAAAAGCTATGGTTATGTCAATGGAAAACTTACAGGTTGGTTTTTATGTTATGTGGCTTACATAAATATGACTTGCAGAAGTAAATATTATACATTATCTTTTCTCTTGACAGAAATAGAAATGTGTAAAAATCATTTTTCTTTCAAATCACTATTTTCTGGAAGATTATATTATAATACACCATGTTCCTGTGGAATACTACACATTTATTGTCATTCTCTATAAATTAGATATATATTTAAAGGCAATAGTTGCAAAACTGCAAAGTAAAAAAGAAAGATCTTCTACCCTTTGAGACAGCATGGAGGGACCTGGAGAGTATTGTGCTAAGTGAAAAAAAACAGTCTGAGAAAGACAAGTATCACATGATCTCACTCATACGTAGAATCTAGTGAACAAAATAAATCGATGAACAAAATAGATCAAGAGACATAGAAGCATGGAACAGACTATTGAATATGAGAGGGGAAGGGTAGGAGTGGGTGGGAAGAGATTAATCAAAGACTTTATATGCATATATGCAAAACCCATGGACACAGACAATAGTGTAGTGAGACCTGGGGCGAGGGGCAGGTGCGGACTAGAAGGGATCAATGCGGGGGGGGGGGGGGGGGGGGGGGGGGGGGGAAGGAAGACATGTAATGCTTTCAACAATAAAATTTTTTTAAAAAGAAACAAGTTACATTTTCATGTTTTTTGGATTATAAAGCCTTAAACGGACATTTTTAAGGGGGTGAATTTCCTCCCCTTCTTCTAACCCGTCTTGAGGCAACGCTCCCAAAGGTTTGACACATTCCTTCTGCAGGTGGAGTGCTGGACAGCACATGAAGCAGGTCTGATTGGCCTTCAGGCTGGTCTGATTACAAATGGTGGTGCATGTTTTTCTTTGTGCTTCATATTGGAAGCTCATACCCTGCTGACAGCTGCCTTCACTTGTTTAAGTGATTTATTATTAAAAATACCCCCATTCTGTTTTGTTCACACAATAGAACATATTCCAGACTTTGTTTTGACCATGTTGGTGAAGTGTGTGTTGACATATCTATGCAGGCCGAGTGGGTTGCCAGTGTCTGAATGACACATTCCTGCTGTCAGGATCGGGCCTCTCCTACATGTCACAGAGGTCATCCTCTACAGCTACTGAGCACAGTCTGCCCCACGTTTTTTCTTTCTCTGAAAAAAAAAAAAAAATCAAAAGTGATAAGCAGTGGTTTTAACCAAACAATTAGGCAGTTAAGATAAAACTTTAGGAGGGAATATACATGTTGACTAGAAGTGAATTGCTAAAATAATGGATTTTTTTGTTGCTTTTAATGAGTTTTATTCTAATAAGATTCATATTTGTCTGTAAATGCCCTTACGTCTCTATTCTTAATGCCCATATTATTTTTATAAATTGTGAAATAAAGGAATTTATGTGCATATAGTGACTGCAGGATTTGAATCCGATTAACAAAATGTTCCTCCTCCAGAATTACTAGTTAGGAGACATCGTTTCCTATAACATCCTACCAATAGTACATTCTGTAATTAATAATAAAAATTACAGTGATACTATGAAATCTTAATAATTTGATTGACAGCAATTTATGTATTTATTATTGTTTGTTAATCCTCATCTGAGGGTATTTTCTTCATTGATCTTTAGAGAGTGGAAGGGAGGGGCAGAGAGAGAGAGAGAAATACTGATGTGAAAGAAGGGCTGAAATTGAACCTGCAGTCCCTTCAGTCTGCGGGCCAGTGCTTTAACCCCTGAGAAACTGGTGAGAACCACAGTGATTTAGAATTTCAGTGATCCTAAATAGGAATCTGACTCACTTTAGCTACATATGCAATGTAAAATTTTTTCTGAAACTTTAGTGTTTAGTTAGGGGAAACTAGTATACAGGCAGTGATTTTCCAGTTTCCGGTAGAAAAATGAAGATTTTGTTCAGTTTAAAGGTTCTAAACTTAAAATCTTAGTAAAATTTTAATATAGATTTTAACATTAACATTTCTTTGGACTCTTAGAATTATTATTTACATGTTAATTTGTACTGCAATATTTACTGTATTTGGAAAGTTACTTGTTGGGAAGTATTCAACAGATCATTTTAATTGAGTCATTGATTTATCAATGATATTTTTGCCCTTTTGATATTTTAACATTTTTCTAGGAATTTAAAAATAACTAGTTTTTTTTTATCTCAAGTTTTTTTTTTTTTCCTTTTTTTGTTCTGATTTTTTAATAATTTAGGTTTTTACAATGGAAATTCTTATCCAGAACCAGCCTTCTATAATCCAATTCCCTGGAAACCAGTTCATATGCCTCCTCCCAAAGAAGCCAAGGATCTATCCGGAAAAAAGACTAAAAGGCCCATGACAAGTCAGCCACACAGGCCTTCATCTCTGATAATTCATAAAGCCAGAAACAATCTTTGCCTTGGAACTCTGTGCACAATACAAAGATAGTAGATGTGGGAATTTGCATGCTTTTATCTGTAGATATTTAATTTAAAAATCAAAAGTGTTTTTTTTAACTGCTCAGTTGGTAGTTCAATATTTGATGTGATTATTGATAAGTTCAAATTGTTGCATTTATATATAAAGTCCTTAGAATTTATTAAGGAAAGATATTTTACACATTTTCATATTTTTAAATGCTTCAAGGTTGATCTTGTCATATTGTTTTGGAGGATAAGTGACTAACAATTGTGTTTGTATTTAGCTTGGATTAAAACCATTGTGATACCAAAATCAATCAATCAAACCACTGTGATACCAATAAAGCCAACAATATTTCTTGTGTCCTTTGGTACTCTGTTATTTGTGTTTATGCTTATAAACATAATAAGATTAAGATTAAATAATTCAAACAAGCACTTCTAAAGGGGGTGCTCAAGATAACTCAGAAGAATGAAAGTGTTAGAATCTTACAGTAATCAAAAGTAGTTTTGTTTGATGGTTTTTCTCTATGTAAATATTTTTAAATAACTAACTGAAGGCAGTTTTATAATAAATGAGGGTTGGGGTTTTGAAAGGAAATTTAAAAACATAATTTTGTCCTCTGGATCTTAGATAATTACCGTGTTTCCCCGAAAATAAGACATCCTCCGAAAATAAGACCTACTTACAGGTTTCCTTCTGAGTGAAATATAAGGCATCCCCTCGAAAATAAGGCTGCCCCTCGGCTCTGTCTCAGAATGCTATTGCTAAACATGAGAGATTTGGTCCACTGATTCTGAAAGAAATGGAGTCACAAGAAATTCACCAGGAAATTCAGGAATTGGATTGTTATGATGATGTTCCAGAAGATGATGACATGATTGTCATTGAATAAATGAGTCAATTCTTGATACTGTAGGACTCACAGTTTGTCTGGTTTGTGTTGACAACTACCATACTACCGCACCGTATACAGGTAATAAATTTCCTTTATTTTCATTTAAAAATAAATGTGTACCGTATTCTTCTTCATGGAAAAATAACACATCCCTTGAAAATAAGACCTAGTGCATCTTTGGGAACAAAAATTAATACAAGACACTGTCTTATTTTTGGGGAGATGGTAGTAATCTTGAGACACTAATAATATGCTGTACTTTGTACAAATATATACGGTGATTAGATTTTTAATTTTAAAATGATTATCAGTACATTGCATTTTAATATTCAATGAGTGATATTTTACCTAAGTTGAGAGCACAGATCTTATTAATAAATGTTAAGCATAATAGTTCAAAAGATTACTAAAATATCACTCAGCACTTTTTATTAAATTTTAAAGACCTGTATCTATTTTAGGGGATCATAAGGAAATGAAAATTTGTTGTGGCAATATAAATCAGTAAGTTCATTTAAAAGTGACTATTTATATTTCATGTTTCTGCTATTTTAGTCATTTGCCAAGTTTTTTTTAATGATTAACCTGCAGTGGTGTTGATCATTGCAAGAAAACAGCAATAGGATCTTTGAAGGGTATTCATGTCAACAGAAATCTAGGAAAGTTCTATTTTGTTGAACCAAAATAGCAGAAAGATTTAGAGAGGTGACCATTTTTCTCAGAACCTCTTAGTTACAATGAAACTTACAGATGGTCATTCTACTTGAGTAAAGTCACAATATAGAAAGAATGAAGAATTTGCCAGGGCAGCAAAAAACTTGTGTGTTAAAAACATAGTGTGCATAGGCCTGAATTCCTGGGCTTTTAGATACAGTTGTTATATCTAAGAAACCTTCCATACAGTAGATTAAGTCATTTAGGTACCATTTAACTATAAACATAATCCTAATAAGACTTCTCATTCAATCAGTAATTAATGAGTTTGACCAATAATAGTTGAATATTTCCTCTGACAGATGCTTTGCATATTGATTTATGAATTTAAATTGTATATTTCTTTAATTGAGCAAGCATTTACAGCCTAGCCAGGAAAACAAAGCAGAATAAATACTATAATATACTACACTTAAAATTATGTTCAACCCAGTCAGTGTGAACCAGGAGGTTAAGATTTGATTCCCAATCAGAGCATAAGCCTGGATTGTAGTCTTAATCCCCAGTAGGCGGCGGGCAGAAGGTAGCTGATCGATAATTCTCATCATTGGTGTCTATCCCCCTCTCCCTCTCCCTCTCTCTGAAATCAATGAAAACATAGATTTTTAAATGTAAATGTTTTAAAAATATTTTTTTATTGATTTCAGAGAAAGAGTAGGAGAGAGTGATGGAAACATCAATGATGAGAGAGAATTATTCATTGGCTGTCTGCTGCACACCTCCTACTGGGGATTGAGCCTGCAACCCAGGCATGTGCCCTTGACCAGAATCAAACCCAGGACCCTTCAGTCCACAGGTCGATGCTGTATTCACTGAGCCAAATCTGCTAGGGAGAAAACTTTTTTTTTAAGACTTAAAAATTATTTTCAGAGTTTATCTGGGAACATAGATAAGAGATAATTCAGCCTCTGAATGGATTAACAAAGATTACAAAGGAAGTTACATTTGAGCTGTTAAACATTACATAGGGATTTTCTAGATGATTTTGAGGCTGACCACACTCATGGGAAAGTGAAAAGTGGATGAGAACAAAGCAGGGGGCAGACTACAATGGCTTTGTGTGCTGCAGATTTCAGACGTGGTCCTGTGGATGTGTAAGGTCCTGCTTTGCTACTCCAATGGTACATTTTAAAAAGGTTTTGACTACCAAACTCATCTATTATTAAGACCGAATTTTTCTTCAAACCAATCAACATGCCTGATTACCAGGAGGTTAGTGTTTTTAACTTGAATCAATTTTTCTTAAAATCAATATACTTGATAGTTTAGGCATTGCACACTACAACATTTGAGATTTCTGTTGCGATTTTTTTTCTTCTTCTCTGTTGTGATTTTCAAGATAGCTCTTTGACTTCTACTACTACTCTGATTGGAACTGCTCTGAAATATCTTGGTAACCTATAGTAGCAAATCCATGATCCAATATGCTCTCACATATTGTAGAGCAAGTCTGAGGCCTGGCTTCATGTCTGCTTATCTGGAAGGTGCCTCACTTGTTCTCAGCGTTCAGTACCTTATCTGATTTAGAAAATTATCTTGGAGAAAGTATCTAAAAGGCAAATTTGTTTCATTTTTTATATAATGATAATCCTGATACAAAGTACCAATTTTTTTTTTAGTGATAATTGATTTCCATAATAACTGACTTTGGTTAAGATACTGATGATATATCAAAAATAAGTTAACCTGTCAGTGCTAGGGTAGATTTTCATTTCCCCCTATGCTAAAAATAAAAGTACTTTTATTTTCATTTTCTTCATATTAAGTAAATATTGAATACCTGCTATGTGCTAGCTAGTATTCCAGCTGTTATGAATGAGGGAGGGGCCCTGCTGACCTGAGGGGACCCATGACAGTGATAGAAAACAGATATTAAACATGTAAACCAATCATGTATTTTTGGCTGTATGTGCTATAAAGAAAATACAACAGGGCAATGGCATAATAAACCAGCGAGTTTCAACCAGTGTGCCCTGGCAGGTACACTGGTGAGCTGCAAGAATTTTTAAAACATGCAATACCTGACTCTCTCTAGTCAGAGGCACTGACTTCTTTCACCCTAGATTGTCAAATAAAAGAATGACAACAGCCAACTCAACAATAGCTGTCTGGTGTACATGAATGGAAATTTTATCTTTTTTTTCTTTTTTGTCAGGTTGGCAAATTTTTTTTTGGTGTGCCACAGAATTTTAGTAATGAGTGCATGTGTGCTACGAGATAGAAGGGTTGAAAAATCACTGGGATAAACAATGCCTGAGTGGAGGAGAAGGGTCTGCTCTAGATGATGGGCTTTTCTGAGGAGGTAATATTCTGAGCGAGCCTTGCTAAAATAAAATCTGGGGGAAGAGGGAACAGCTAGTAAATGAATCTGGTGTGTTTGAAAAAGGCCAGCTTGCCTGGAGTGGAGAGAGTGATGGGGGAAACAGTAGGAGTTAAGGTTGGAAAGTCGGCAGGCCTGCTCATATATAATCCTGAGTCCGGTAGTTCAGATTTTATTCTAATTGTATTGGGAAGTCTCTGGAAGGTGTTAAGCGGGGAATTGATATGATCTGGTGTGTAGTTGAGATGCTCCGGCTGCTGTGAGGAAGTCGGCCTGTTGGAGACAGAGACACAGAGCAGGGGAGACTTACTGGGAGTATCTTGCAGTCTCCAGGAAAGGGATCCTTTAGAGTCTGTCGGCAACAGTGACCTGGTAAAACATGGAGGTGGATGGGATGTATTTTGCAGGTAGAGCAAACAGGACTGCTAACGTTAGCTCTCAGGGCGGGGGAAGACGGGAAACTCGGATAAGAGTTCTAGTTCTTGGGCCTGATCAGCTAGGTGAATGATGATAATTAGAACAGAAATTGGAAGATGTGATAGGAGCAGGTGTCTGGGCTGAGATGGGAAAGGGGTGTCCTTAAGAATTCTGCCCTACAGCATGGATGGACCTGGAGAATATTATGTGGAGTGAAATAAGCCAGCCAGAGGAAGACAGATATCACATGATCCCACTTACATGTAGAATCTAATGAACATAATAAGCTGACAAAATAGGCTCAAACATGGAGCAAACAGAGGGGAGTAGGGAGATGAGAAGAGAATAAGCAAAAAACTTTTATACATATATACATATCCCATGCACACAGACAATAGTGTGGTGAAGGCCTGTGGGGGGGGTGGGGAAAAGTAGGGGGGAGGATACAAAGAGAAGGAGAGAAGGGGGGGGACTTCTGTAATACTGTCAACAATAACATATATATGTATATGTGTGTGTGTGTGTGTGTGTGTGTATATATATATATATATATATATATATATATATATATATATATATCTCCTCCTCCCTTCCACTTCCTCTAAAATCACCTGAGGAAAAATATCCTCTGGTGAGGATTAACAACAACAAAAAAGCTGAATGGAGCTACGTAGGCAC